TGAAAAAGGACATCATGCTTGGAAAAGATGGAGGGTCAGTGAAAGAGAAGACCTTCAAAGAGATGGATAGAGAGTATGACTGCAACAATGGACTCAGAGATGATGATGATGGCTCAGGATGGGACAAGGTTCAGCTCTATTGTTCACAGGGTCCCCTGCCCTAGGCACATAAGAATAACAATAGTAGGTCAAGAAATGTAAATGAAGGAGATAATTAACTTAGGATTCTTTGTTCTTAGAAGTTAATTTGCTTTAAAAATTTATGTGCATAATAATTACTGCCAATATGGGTGAAAGTGAATAGAATCAACAAAAGGGTTATTAGGACTTAAGAGTTTTTCTCCCTTCCTTCCCCAGAATAGCCACTGAAATTATCCAACCACAGGAAGCAGATTCTCTCTGTTAAGTATGCAAAACCACTCTACCTCCTTTCCCAGGAATAGGAATCTGAGACCCCAGCCCAATCCCTATTTTGGAAAATACAACTATGAACCTACCCTTCCCCAATTTCCTTGGAAGGCAATATAAAACTCCTCTCTAACTTTTAGTGGTGCCTGGTTTCTACTTTAGAGCCAGGCCAGCAGTTTCTCCTCAATAAACTGTATTTCTTGGCCTGAACTGGTTCCTTGGAGACCTTACAATGGAGGTTTCTGCCAATTTGCCATGGTATTTCAGAATCAGCTTACTACTCAACTGTTTTTGCAAGGTTCATGCATGACTGCTTTAAGCTAAAATGTTGGTCAGTGAAAACATTATGACTAGCTACAGAACATTGTCTGGTACAGTGACAGAAAATCAATCCCTCCGGTTAGAAGACACTCAAACTACAATTGGGGAAGGACGTTATAAAGATTTTAATCAAAGAAGACCTTTATTTGCTGATGGGGCACAACTCAAAATGAAAAGAAACAGCTAAAAATGTGTATTAATGGCCATAACATGAAATTTATGACATATAAATAAAGGAAAATTATAAAAAATGATATGGTGGTGGTGTTGATTGCCGTTGAGTTGAGCATAACTCATAGTGACCGTATGAACAAAAGCCCTGAAGTTCATAGAGTTTCCAGAGGCATGTTGTTTAGGAAGTGGATGCCATTCCTGCTTCTAAATATACTGCAATAATAGCCTTTTAAAATTTTCTTATCTACCACCCGTGTTTTTTATCCTTTCAAAACTTTTTTCTACTATTACTTCCTATTGAGTTCTTGCACATCAGCTTAAGAGTCATTCTTAAAATCCTAAGAAATAAGAGAGAAAAAAGCCCAAGAGGATTCTGACTGGCAGTATGAATCTTGCATTGTCGAAGCTCACTCACCTGCTGACCTGCTCTAAATGTGCGCTCCTCTTTCACATGGCATATGTGCTCTTGCCTGTGACTTCTCAGCTTGGTTCCAGTCTAGACCTGTAAGATGGGCTAATTATTTATTGTATCTTGCAGAAAAGCCTTTTGTACTGTTGATTCTTCTGTTTCTTCCCATGTCTTTTCTATGACCTAGATTTCTGCAACAATTGACCACACAGTGCTGTTCCTACAACCTTTTGTAACCAGAATAACTTGTATGGGTGACCTAATGAATCATACTAAACTGAGCTTTTCTTCTTTTATTTTTTTCACTGAACAAATGACTGTGGCTTTCCTTTGCTTATGCAGACAGGTTGGGATGCCCGACTCTCCACAGCCTGGGTTAAGGAATATTGATATCCCACATATAGTGAGCTGAAATTAACTGACACTGGCCATTTTGAATTAGACAGTAATATAAAGTCTTGAACATACCATGGACTGCCAAGAAAAAAAATAGGTCTGTCTTGGGGAGGGTGAAATCAAGTTCCTTCTTGGAGGTGAGGATTTTGAAGCTCATCCCACATACTTTGGGCTTATGGCCAAGAGGGACTGGCCCTTGGAGAACAACATCCTGCTCGGAAGGGTAGAGGGACAGCGAAGGAGAGGAAGACCTGGGATAAGATGGATTGATACAGTAAGTGGGGCAACAGGGGTAGGTTTGTTGGAGTGAGTAGTATTGACTCAGGATAGGGCAGGCTTCAGAGATTTTGTACATAGGGTTGCTATGAATCGCAGGTGACTTGACGGCACATGGCAACAACATATGCCAGATACGTAAAATTGAAGAGAATGGTATTGCATTTGCCATAAAAGTATCAAGAAATTATAAAAAACCAAAACAAACTCATCAAAATGGATCTTGAAGTACAACATTGGTAGTGATAGAGTTGCAGGAAGACGAGGAGAGTTCTAGGGGAGAGAAGGTATATTACCCAAACACCTTAATTTAAAAGAAAGAGAAATGACATTTATTTGATAAGCCAGAAGAGTGATTCAGCAGGGACAGGTGGCCCAAATGACTGAAGATCCCTGAGCTGGTATGAATCTGCTTTAAGGGAAACTGTTAAGGGCTTTCTCATTGGTGGGTTTAAATGTGCAGAAATTTACAAGGTGGAACTAATGTCAGTTTTGACAGTTCTTGGGAAGGGGAATGAGCTCATGTATTCCTTCATACATGGGGACTGTCTGCTTCCAATTTGAATAGAAGCTTATAAGGTTGCAGTCTCCCCCTGCTCTTATGGGTAAGTGTTACTTGCAGGGCTGTGAGTCTCTCCTTCTCCTCCCGTAGGACTTCTTCAGAGAGGGAGGGGGCTCCCTCCTTAATAGGAAAAGATCCACTCAAATTCAAGGAAGACCTGCTTACATGACTGTCATATAATATATACACCAAACACTAAAGTCAAAGATGAAGAAATTGAGGATATCTATGAACTTCTGCATTTTGAGATAGATCAAACATGCAACAATAGTAATAAAAATGCATTGATAATGTGACTGTAATGCAAAAGACCATATGATAAAATTTTATATGATTAACAAATTATTAATTGCAAGTACTTTTTCCCCCACCAAAACCTAATCACCAAGTATATACATGGGCACCTTTGCCAGATAATATACCGGAATCACACCGGCTGCAAAGGAGTAGTGGAGAAACTTTCATCAGCCAGAACAAGGCCAGGAGCTGATAGTGGAACAGATCACTAGTTGTTCATATTGATAAGGTAGTATTAATAAGTCCAAGATTATTTAAACTGTAACTTCTGACAAGCTGTGTTTCCAGTCTTCAAAACTGGCTGAACTATCAAATTAACATTTCTTTTGTCCCCAGATCCTGTTTCAACTTCTCTGTATTTAATGCAGATTATCTTAAGATGTCTGTTGACTAGGTGGAGGAACACATCTCTCCTGAACAGCTTTTGTAATTTTCTCAGCCATATGTAAACTGTACCTTAAATTGGGTACTCACTAGAAATTGTATGTAAATTATTCCTTTGAATGCAAGAATCCTGTGACCTTGGGCTAGAGAAGTTTCTTATTTATTTGCTGATGGGACACAACTCAAAATGAGAAGAAACAGCTAACAAAGTTTATTAATGGCCATAACATGAAGTGTATAAATCTAGAAAAAGCCTAACTCAAGTTTAAAATCTATTAATCTTCATTGTTGTATAATTCCTCCAATAACAATAAATTTTTTTTAAAAAAGAAAATGAACAGAAATACACAGTAAGAGGATAATCATATAATGTAATTAATGAATAATTCATATTAAAAACCAAATGTCTGAGTCATTATATGAACAATCACTATGATTTATAAACCTTCACTTATAAAAAAAAAATCTAACAATCTTCTTTAGAAGGGGAGGTAGTTTTTACAGAATTCTCTCTGTTTCTCCCAGATATGCAATGAGGTTCTTTGGATATTGCAATCCATTTGTCTTACCTGCCTTGACTGTGTTCACTTACAATGTAAAAGTTAGACTTGAAGCACAGTTCTCCTTTAATACACATAGGGTCACCAAAACTCGAAATGCCTTTACAGTAGCTGGTAAGAACTTAAGATTTTGAGCACCTTTTCTTGTTCTTTTTTTAATAGAGATTTTAATAAAAATGTATAGAAAACTTGGATTCCATTCATCCATTGTTCCATATTTTCGTCCCCCCCATCCCCAGTTTGCTTTTCTCTTTGAAAAAAAATTCTTTCATTGTCGTGCAATCTCTCCCCCCCTCCCCCAGTCCACTTTACTATGCAGATCTTATTCTGGACGGTGGCCATGAAAATAATACCTAATCATATATTCCTTTTAAGCAGTTTTTTTCTTCCATCTGTTTCAATGCCATGTACATTATTTATCCCCTCTTCTCTCAGTTTCTCCCCAACCCTCATGTTGGTCCTGTATTTTGAGCACCTTTTCATGTCATTTGTGAATCTTCTTTGAAGAAATGCCAGTAAGTGTGGTTGCTTGAGAATTCCAACACTGGATGCAGTAAATTGTATGGGAGCAGATCGCCAATCTTTCTCGGTGGAGCAGGTAGCAGATTCAAACCACATACCTTTGGGTCTTTAGATTGACAGGGAAACTCCTGACCACTAAGCCACCAGAACTCCTCTCTACTAGCAAAGGATAAGTACATTTTCACCAGTATTTTTTCTTTAGCTTTTTAAGTTGAGAGGGAAAAAATATATTATAGCTTTACTTGTATTTCTCTGAGGAAATATCTTTTCATATACTTAAAACCTTTGTTGTTCAATTTTAAATATACTTGATATTTTTATATAGTGTTGCTATTTTCCTTATTGCTGGTGAAAACATGAGATATGTTCTAGATAGAAATGTAAGCTTAATCAGAAAAGTAACGACATCTTGTTAAGTAAAGACAAGTTTATACTAGAAAGTTTTCGTTTTGTCTTAAGTTTATAACCTTGTATAACTCAAAATTTCAGTCAGTATGGCTATCATTTACATATTAGGGAGTAATAGTTTTTGAGATCTTTTGTAGTTACATAAATTATAAAAATGTACAAACAACATGGGACATTACATTAAATGATAGAGTAAATAATTTCTGAGTGATACTAGTTTTCTTTTTAACCAAAAGCAGATAAAAACAAATTATCTACCCCAATATCCTTTTAGCTAAGACTCTTATTTTTGTATCCCCAGTAATTTATTCATTGCATGCTTCATATCTTTATTCCTTAAACTATATATCACAGGGTTAATGAGTGGTGTCACAACAGAGTAAAATAACGTCACAATCTTCTGCATTCCGGCTTCATGCTCGGATGTTGGACTCACATACATAACCATCACTGAGCCATAGAAAAGTGAAACCACAGCCAGATGGGATCCACAGGTGGAGAAAGCTTTTCTTCTTCCAGCTGCTGATGGGACTCTCAGTACAGCTCTCAGGACCAATGTGTAGGATCCCATGATAAAGAAAAAAGGAATAAATAAAAGTAGAGAACTTAAGGTAGAGCTAGTCAGCTCTATTGCAGGAACTCTGGTACAGGTCAGGGCTAACAGAGGACCTGGGTCGCATAGGAAGTGATCAATAACCCCAGATCCACAGAAGGACATCTGGGAAATGATGACAATAGGAATAAGAAACCAGAGGAAACCAAACACCCAGCAATTGACCACAAGATTGGTGCAGAGACGTCCAGTCATAATGGTTGGGTAGTGTAGAGGGCGGCAGATTGCCAGGTATCTATCAAATGCCATAACTGCCAAGAAAAAGCATTCTGTAGAACCCAAGGAAAAGAAGAAATAGAACTGCAGAAAGCACCCAGAGAAGGAGATGACTTTTGTCTCAGAGAGAAAGTTTGCCAACATGTTGGGGACCGTAGAGGTGACATACCAGATCTCTAGGAAGGAGAAGTTGGCGAGTAGGATATACATGGGGGTGTGGAGTCTCTGATCCCAGCGAACAGCACAGATGATAGAACCATTCCCCATGAGAGTCAGGAGGTAGACAACAGAGAAGAGCACAAAGAGGAGGATCTGGCCCTCCCTGGGGCAAGGAAATCCCAGGAGGATGAAGCCAGTGATGGTGCTGGAGTTGTTGAGAGTATTGAAGATTTTCATGTGTCTGTGAGCTGTAAAAACACAACAAATACTCAGTAACGGTGTGAAGACAGGGTGACTCAGATATTTTAGATTCTTCAAAAAGAAAACAAATATTTGAATATTAAATGCTTTTCTCTTTAATGCTAAAATATTTTCTTAACTTTTTTCCCCCAGTGTAGACAGATGGAAATATATATTTATTTAGGACATCTTGGGAATTGCAACAAATATTTATATTAAAAAATTTACTATGGTTATAATTTATGGTAATACAGTCTCCAAAGTACTGAAGAGCAATGATGTCAGTCTGGAGACTAAAGTGCGCCTGATACAGGCCATGGTCTTTGCAATTACTTGCTGTGAAGCAGAGAACTGAACAAAGACTGTTGTTGTTGTTGTTGTTATGTGCCATCAAGTCGCTTGCGACTCATAGCAACCCTATGTACAACAGCCTTAAACTCCACTCTGTCCTGTGCCAATCGCACCATCTCTGACACTCCCATCCCAATTATCCCAGTCACTGAATCAATAATCCACCTCATAGAGGGCCTTCCTCTCCTGCGCTGTCCCTCC